GAGAATGAAAGAAGTGGATACAGAAACATTATCCAGTGCTACCAAAATCCAGTTACCCTGGGCTTCACTTTGCCACCCATTTGCTTTTAAGTGTAGAGGTTAGCAGATAACTGACATTGACTTATACACCGAGGTTTATCAGCACCGGTTCCGTAGAGGCCATTCGTACCTTTAATGCAAAAAAATGAAGAATGAGCTGCTTTTGGACTGCAAGCCCACTCCCACTGTCCTCACCCTTGGCTAGGCTGACTGGGGCTGATGGGAGTTGCAGCCCAACATCTAAAAGGCCACACATTACCTACTCTAGATTTAAGAGCTGTGAAAAGCAAAGCTCCCTGGTGATCCTGCATTACTAGATTGTGCAGTAGGTGAATCATTCCAAGAGTATTTCTTTAACGAATCATGCAGGATATGTACCTACAAAACCTAAGACAGGATAACCCTCTTCTTTATATGCAGAAATTTTAGACCCTCTTCGGTATAACCTACACCTGTAATTACTTTAGCTTAATATTAAAACTTGACTCTCCCTAGCCCCACAAGATTGTATTTTGTTTGAAAAAAACTGTGGATTGTTACAGGTACCACATATGTCAATTTGTTCTTCTGTTACAATTTGAATTCTTTTGTTTTCCTATCATGGTGAGTAGAAAAAGGAGAGAGATATCAAGGCATTCTATAAGGCAAATTGCTTTATATGACTCATGTGGCCACCCTAATCTTCAGAAAACATTCTCTGCAATCGCTTTGCTAGCGAGGAATTTCTGACAGTCATCCATAGAATTTCTGCATTGTGTCATCTTCTGTGCCATACAAGGCTCAAATGGGTCACTGGCCAGGGCCATCTGTGCCTCCATTTATTCAGTGCTCGCATTTAAAACAGTCAAGAGGCAGGCCATTTGGTCCATTTAGCCTAATATTGTCTACTCTGTTTAACAGCATTCTAATCTCTCCTCTGATCATTATAGGTTAGATTGCTACACCCAGTGCTGCTATAAATGCTGGAACATGTTGTTGCTTGATTTGTTATCATAAGATGTGAATACTAACGAGATTAACTTTGTTTACTTCTGGGACCTGGAATTTCAACCAAGCAGCAATTAATAACAAAAGGCGTATACTTTACTGTCTACTTATGATGCAGTTTGTTTATATTAAATATACTACATAAGCCTGGAGAATAGAGGTACACATCCTATACCTGATTGCTTTTCTGGTTCTTCCCTCAGCCTGATTCCTGACTGCCCTACCAACTTGTGTTTAGGCCTGGTAATGTTGTTGTTCACTGGCAGGTTGGTCTAAAACAGCACAAAAAAAACCTCTCATCCACTTAATTGTGGATGACAGGGCCAACTTGGTGCATCTTATCAAGATGTAAGCGGAGGAACTGAAAGGGACTAGCCTCTCCCAGTTACACCCTTCTGGGCATTCAGTGCTGCACCAACTACCAACATAGATTCAATGGCTGAGATAAACTGCTAGGGCCTATGAGAAATCTCCCTCTCTTTATCCCAGAACTAGTCCTGAGTCTTGAGGTGGTGGAGTTGAACTAGAATTAGGTGCTGTGGCCCCTAGGATGATGGTTCTGGGAGATCTTGGTTTCAACACTGAAGCCATCAGATCTCTGCAGTGCCTCCACACTTCATGACTGCCATGACAACTAAAGGGCTGTCCCTAGATGTTATCAACCCAACATGCGTAGGACATGATGCTTGAATTAATTTTCTCAGTGGGACAGGATGATGGTGATCTGAAAGTCAGGTGATCTGAAATTAATAGGATTTGTGATGGGAACCATTTCCTTATAAGTTTTAGAGTTGCAGCATCTTTTCTCCATGTGAAAAGGTGAGAGAGTGTATTATAATGGTTCACCTATGGAGCCTAATGAATTTCAGGGAACTTTGCAGGATTTTCCTTCAAGATTGGCTAGTGCTTTTTTTAAAAAAAAAAATCCCTGGCTTATCTGTGGAATGCATGAACAACACTGACATAACTGCATCCATGACCCTCTCTTCAAGCAGAATCAGAGGGAATGAAGCAAAAGGTAAAACCACTAGAATACAAGAGGAGAAGGAATCACACCAAGTCCAACTGAAAACATATTAGAGCTCTTTATTGACCCTGTTCTTTGGTCATGATTACGACAAAGGATACATCCTTTCCCACCACCATTGTAATCTCTTACATTCATATTAGCAGAATATTAGATTAGCAGAAATTAGATTTTAATTTTCAATTCTCATTACTGAGGCACACTCCTCTGAGGAAATGGTCATTGTGGAAGGGAATTACATGGATCACTTGAGTGGAGCTTTTTCAAACTGTTTGAAACCTGCTCCAATCTCAGCCAGGGACAGAAATGATCTAGCTCTTGGTAGCATAACATAAATGTAATTTTAGAAAAATAAATAAACTGATATTGAATACAGACAAGAAAGGGTGATTAATAGGTATCTGCCCAACTGAGTGATGATTAATCTGTTTTGAAAATGGTTTCATTCTCCTTAAAGAATTAAGTGCACAGTTTAGGAACACTCTTGGATCCAGCATTGTAACCAGAAGTCCTGGTGGCCCAGGGCTTCACAGAACCTTTTGTCAACTGATATACTAGCCACAACTATATTTGCAAAGCACAACCTTGCTGCAGTTATCCATGCTCTGATAATCTCTCTTTTAGATTACTGCAGGGCATTGTGTGTGGGGTTGTCTTTGAAAATGGTCTGGAAAGTTTGTTGTTATGCACCATCAAGTCACCTCCAACTCATGAAGACGCTATGAACGAGAGATCGCCAAAACAGAAACTTTAGCTGGTTCAAAACAGGGCAGCAAGACTGCTAACAGGGCACCATCATCATATTATGCCACTGCTATCTGACCTGCACTTCTTTCCACCCAATTCTAAGTGCTTTGGTCGCAGACTTAAATGGCTTTGGTATTACATTACATGTAGCACTTCTCTGGGTCTCCTGATCAGACCTCAGGTTCATCTTCAGAAGTCCTTTTGCATGAGCCCATGCCAAAGGCAAGAGACAGGGGGCCCAAGAGAGGGCCTTTTTAGTGGTGGCAACCCAGTTGTGTAACACACTCTTTAGAGACACTCACTTTACGGTCTTTTCACTACTTGATCAAGACCTTGTTTTTCTCCCTTTGTTAAATTCTCTATTTTAGAAACTGCTATTGCTTATTTAGATTTTGGATTTAATTTTTTTTACTTTTGTTTTTTCTGATTTTATGCTTTTGCTTTAAACTTTGTTTAGGTTTCCAAATTATGTTTTATTTTTATTAAGTTTTTAAGTTTTAAGGTTTTATTCTGTGAACTGCCTAGCAGCATGGGAATAGAATAAATTAACTGGTTTAGGTTGAAAGAGGAGAGCACAAAAAATGGTCTGAAGCTAAGCTTTAAAAAAAAAACTAAAATCATGGCCACTGGTCTCATCACCTCCTTGCAAATAGAAGGGGAAAATATGAAGGCAGAGACAGATTTTATTTTCTTGGGCTCCATGATCACTGAAGATAGTGACAGCAGCCACGAAATTAAAAGACACCTGCTTCTTGGGAGGAAAGCGATGAGAAACCTAGACAGCATCTTAAAAAGCAGAGACATCACCTTGCTGACAAAAATCCATATAGCCAAAGCTATGGTTTTTCCAGTAGTGATGTATGGAAGTGAGAGCTTCCATCAAGAAGGCTGACTGCTGAAGAATTGATGCTTTTGAATTGTGGTGCTGGAGGAGACTCTTGAGAATCCCCTGGACTGCAAGGAGATCAAACTATCCATTCTGAAGGAAATCAACCCTGAGTGCTCACTGGAAGGACAGATCCTGAATTAACTCCTGAGTGCTGTGTTATGGATTCAATGCATAACTAAGCTCTGATCTTATGTACATTTATGTGAGAATAACTGTCATTCACCAACATGAATATGACCCAACTCTGGGAGGCAGTGGAAGACAGGAGGGCCTGGCATGCTGTGGTCCATGGGGTCACGAAGAATTGGACATGACTTAATGTCTAAACAGCAACAAGGTTTCAACAAGCAATCATGCATGATACTGGAATGTAAAGTGGATGTTGATGAACTAGTATTGCCATCTGGGCTCACCACTGGTCAAGGTGGCTAGTGGGGATGGGAAACTGAGTTCATCAACATCCAGAGAGCTACATGTTAGTAAATAACAAGAGACTTAGCCTCTTACTCAAGTTTAATAAGCGAATTCCATCTATGCAGCTGATATTGGAATGCCCCTGCAATTCCTCTGAACATGATGAACATGTTTGGGGCAGAAAGACATGATGCAAGACCAGTACACTTAAGGAAATTCAAAAGTTTGCATACTGTTGTGGAATCTAATAATTTAATTTAAGATTTTCCTTAGGAAAATTTAGGTATTTTTTTTCTTTGCTCTTATAGATCAACACAATTATTTTGATTTTTGCAATCCTATACAGATTTAATCTGATATATCACACTAAACTGAATGACAGTTTGTTGTTGTTGTTCAGTTGTTAAGTCGTGTCTGACTCTTCATGACTCCATGGACCAGAGCACACCAGGCCCTCCTGTCTTCCACTGCCTCCCAGAGTTGGGTCATATTCATGTTGGTGAATGACAGTTATTCTCACATAAATGTACATAAGATCAGAGCTTAGTTATGCATTGAATCCATAACACAGCACTCAGGAGTTAATTCCCAAGGTACATTATAGAGAAGGATTTCCTCATTGACTTTTCTAGTTTTTATTCACATTTGACAGTTTCTCACAGAATATTTCTTCATAATGGATTGGAATAAAGTTCAAACAATAACAAATGTGTTGTGAGATAAAACACTGATAAGAAATGAACAACTAGGGAAACTGTTACAGAACAAGAATATAAAATAAACAGACCTTTCTGGAAAGTTAAGTTATCACATAACATTACACTCACCAAATCCTTAAACATGCAGAGATGCTCTGTAAGTGGTACAAGCAGATAAGGAGGTAACCGCTGTGGCTTCTTTCATGGACTAAAGAAATTTCATTTGTTTTTATAAATCTCAGAATGTCTCCATAGGTTTTAAGCATATGTCTTTTTAAAAATATCAAACAACATAGCAGGCAGGAAGAAAACAGTCAATATTATGGATGGCAAGTTCACATAATAGTTGGAATGGTTGATTCTGATTGTAAGCCAAATAGATGACGGACATGCTCCAAAACAAGGTAGATCAGAGGAACAACAGCATAAAAGACATATGCTGACACCATAAAGGTAACAAGGAGAAAACTGTGGAAGACCCACCATTCAAAGGGATCCATGAGATAAGTCATTGTGACCAGCTGAAATTGCCAGTAAAACCAATATACATTGTAGATCATGCGTTTAATAGCCATCATTGTTTTGAAAGGGTTGCAATTCTGCACCTGACAGTATAAAAAAAGACAGGGAAAAAAAGACAATTAGTGCATGTTCAGGTTTTCAAAGATAATACATCACCAACTATAGGGTTTGCTATAGAAACATGTATTTTCATGATGTCATTACCAGAACTGGCAACTAGAGGAAGCCAGATACAGTACCATGTTATGTACAGTGTTCACTATTATCCTCAGTTTTCTCTATCCACAGGAAGGGCTTGGAACTGATCCGCTGCAGATATGGGGTTCCTATTGTATCCTTTGCCTTCATTTTTGGATCGTATTCCCTGTTTGCAATTCCAAGTGTGGTATAGTGGATAGCTGCAGGAGAAATGCAGGGAACAACAACAGCCACTCTTAGTGGCCTTCATAGACCTTACAAAAGCATTTGATCTCGTTAGCAGGGATGGCCTTTTTAAAATACTTCCCAAGATTGGATGTCCACCTCATCTCCTTAACATCATCAGATCTTTCCATGAGGGAGGCACTGTAGTTTTTGACGGCTGAACATCAGACCCCTTTGACATCCGAAGCGGAGTGAAACAGGGCTGTGTCCTCGCACCAACACTTTTTGGGATCTTTTTTGCTGTCATGCTGAAGCATGCCTTTGGAACTGCAATCGAGGGTGTCTATCTCCGGACTAGATCAGA